AACTTCGGGAGGAGTGCGTCGAAGTAGAGAGGAGTTTCGGTCGTCGAGGAGTGCTGCTTACCTGCAGCAGAACAAGGTACGGGTCAGCGAGGCGCACGTACAGGACGAAGTCGACGAGCAGCGACACCTGGGAGGTGGACGAGCTACGTGGCGATTCCGAAATCCATTTAGGTCAGGTTGCTGGAATTGCGGGGTTGCGGAGCACGGATTCCAAGATTGCGAGGCCACGGAGTGGAGGAGATTTTGTTTCCGGTGCGGCAAGCTGGGCGTGATTTCTCCAAAATGTCCCGATTGCGCGGGAAACGGTCGATTGGGCAGTCCGAAAGCGGGAGGCACTCGGCCAGGTTGGAATCCCGCGAAGTAGATCCGAAGAAAGAAGACGAAAACAAGAATAAACATAGTCCATCTGATAGTCATAAGTACTTGTTTAAGATACCTGCCGGAGGATGAAAGGCTTCGCCGTTATATGGAATCACGGGAACCGGATTTTTGCGGAGCATCAGCTGAGCGGCATGCGTCTAGTCTCACGGAGAGTCCAGAAGGCAAGAGAGCGCTTCAGGTATGAGGAGATCCAGACGACGAGAGGTGGTGGCGGCCGTTAAACGCATAGATGCCGCCGATCCTAGACCCTTCGCCGACGTGGAGACCTTGGGCAAGCAGCTCACCCGGCTTTTTGGGTACAGGCGCCAGCGTAAGTGTGCTGGGCAAAGGCTGTCGAGAGCTCGTGGAAGCGCTGGGAGTTACCGTCCAACCGTATTTTTCGGTAGTCCGTACGGGCTACTGGCGAAGATCGATCCATCATCGGACGCTTGGAGCTGCCTGTGAGGTACAAAGGCGTGAGTAAGCCGGTCACGTTCTACCTGTGCCCATACCTGGAACAAACGGGCGTACTTCGGAGTCGACTTCTGTCGAGCCTTCGGACTAGCTCCAGCCGTCGTGGCGAAGCCGGCGACGAGGGGCGTCAAGGCAGCGGAGGAAATCCTGCCAGCCAGATGGAGCACTATGCGGACCAGGAAGATGAGGACGAGGTAAGGGAGGAACCCGAATCCTGGGAGCCTTTCTGCGGAGGAAAAACTGGCGTTAGGCAAGGTCAAGGAGGAGTTCCTTACCTTTGAGAGGGACGGCCTCGGAGTCACCAGCATGGAGAGGCATTCCCATCGAGCTGATGGAAGGAGCTCGGGTTTTAAGGATCGTCCGTATCCGATGTCTCCGGCGAAGCAGAAGGTGGTCGAAGACGAAATCGACAAGATGTTGGAGCTGGGTGTCATCGAGGAGAACAAAAGCCCGTGGAGCAATCGCACAACAGTGGTGTCGAAGCCAGGGAAAGGCCGGTTCTGCCTGGATGCCCGGAAGTTGAACGCCTTGACTATCAAGGATGCATACCCTCTACCCAGTATAGAAGGAATCCTCTCCAGAATAGATCAGACGCATTACATCTCCAGCGTTGACCTGAAGTTTGCGTTTTGGCAGATCGAACTGGATGAGAAAAGCAAGGAGTACACTGCGTTCACGGTTCCAGGCAGGCCGTTGTACCAGTTCCGAAAGATGCCGTTCGGGCTGTGCAACGCGGCACAACGCTTGGTACGGCTCATGGATCGGGTGATACCAGCGGAGCTCAGATCCAACGTCTTCGTCTACTTGGACGACCTGCTAATCCTCGCTCCAGATTTTCAGACGCACCTGAAATACTTGCGTCGAGTAGCCCACAGTCTGAAATCAGCCGGATTGACCATAGGGTTAAAGAAGTCGAAGTTTTGCTTCAAGTCTTTGACTTACTTAGGGTTTATAGTCGGAAGTGGACTGCTGCGGATGGATCCTGGACGTGTTTCGGCAATCCAGAAGATGCCTTACCCGAAATCCCATGAAGGAAGTACGTGCCTTCCTCGGCACAGCGGGATGGTATCGACGGTTCGTCAAGAACTTCGCTACGCTAGCCGCACCACTCTCCGAGTCCTTGAAGAAGGCTGGAAACACAAAGTTTTCCCTAAGTCCCAGCGCCACCCAGGCAGTGGATGACCTGAAGTTGGCCTTCACGAGCGCGCCGGTCCTGGTTCATGCGGATTTCAAGAAGCATTTCTTCATCCAGTGCGACGCATCCCACGTTGGCGTCGGCGCGGTATTGTTTCAGCGGAACCAGGACGGAGACGAGCAGCCCATCGCGTTCTTCTCGGCCAAGATGAACAAACACCAGGTTAACTACTCGGTCACGGAAAAGGAATGTTTGGCGGCCATCCTAGCTATTCGGAAGTTCAGACCGTATGTGGAAGGGATGCCCTTCACATGCATTACCGATCACGCCAGCCTTAAGTGGTTGATGACCATGAAGGATCTGTCCGGACGACTCGCAAGGTGGTCTCTCCAGCTGCAGGGCTACGATTTCAGTATTGAACATCGTAAAGGCAGCGAGAACGTAGTCGCTGACACTCTGTCCTGCATCATAGAGGAAGTCCGGATAGATCCAACGGGGGGTACTGGGATTCGAGACGACCGAATTTGCTGCGGAGGATTATACGGAGTTAGTGAAAGACGTGGAGTCAAACAGGGAGCACTTACCGGACCTCAAAGTGGACGGCGGACTAATCTTCAAGCGCATGAAGAATCCGAAAATGGACGAGGAACTGAAGGGATCCGAATGGAAGCTGTGGATCCCGCAAAGCCTGACGCACAGCTTGGTAGAGCGTGCTCATTCGGACCCCAAGGCTGGCCATGGTGGGATGACGAACACCTTGGAGATCCTGCGACGCCAGTTCTATTGGCCAGGGATGACCATCCAGGTACGGGCATACGTCCGGGGTTGCGAGGTGTGCAAGGAATCCAAAGCGCCAAACTTCCGGATGCAGGTCGGAATCGGAAGAAGGGTAGAGACGCAGAGGCCATTCCAGAAACTGTACATCGATTTCTTGGGCAAGTATCCGAGGTCCAAGAGTGGACACGCCTGGATATTTATCGTGGTGGACCACTTCTCGAAGTACACCTTCTTAAAGGCGATGAAGGAGGCGACGGCGTCGAACTTTGTAAATTTCCTGGTAAACGAGGTATTTTACAAGTTCGGGGTGCCTGAGACGATAATTCAGACAACGGAAAACAGTTCGTATCCAAGGCGTTTGAGGAGATGATCGATGGCTTCGGTATACAGCACATGAGGACTCCCGTATACTCACCACAGAGCAATGCCGCGGAGAGGGTAAGCCGGAACGTCTTGGCCGCAATTCGCAGCTTCTTGGACGAAGATCACCGGGAATGGGATGCACATTTGCCGGAGATTTAGGTGGCCATCCGAAACACTGTCCACTCAACCACAGGGGAAGCGCCGTTCTTCACTGTATTCGGCCATCACATGTTCCTCAACGGTTCCAGCTACAAACTAGCCAGACGACTCAGGTCTCTGGTCGACCATGAAATGGCCGGAATGCAGACCAAGGACAAGCTTCGGGTTATCCACGTCAAGGTGCAGAAGCAACTGGAGGGTGCATACCAGACGAGCCGGCAGCGCTACGATAAGCTAGCCCGTACGCTGCTCGCCAAGCCAGGCCAAGAAGTCTTCCGCCGCAACTTCGTGCTGAGTGATTTCAGCAAATCTTTTAACGCCAAGTTTGCTCGCAAGTTCCTTAAAGCCAGGGTGATCAAATCCGTCGGCAGCAATGCATACTTGCTGGAGGATCTCCAAGGCCGCAGTCTGGGAGTGTATCATGCCAAAGACATCCGGTTGTGACCTGAAAGAAGGACAAATCAAAGTATACGAGCATCGCGATCACATGTGCAATACTTCCCGTCATGCGTGGGCCCCGCGATAGGCGTCGATCGAACTGCAGGATGGTATCAGTGCCGTGTTGAATCCCATCGTATCTCCAAAGCTACCAATTATTTCATCGTTCTGCTGAAACTCTGGGCAGCGCCCCTCGAAATCTTTGGTTGATGTTGGAATTGGAGTCGAGTGGGAGCGACGTTATCGATAGGTTAGGTCGATAGGGCGATAGCTGCAGCAGCGGGATGAGTCTGGCGGGCGATCTGGCCATTTAAAGATTAATCCCGGTTCGCTCTGGGATTACTTCAAATGGCCCATGTTCCCAATGACCCAATGTTGAGAGAGGCCATGTAATATGGCGGGGGGCGATGATCAGCAGATATCGTGATAGTCGCGGCCATACTGTCCAACAATCAAGGCAGATGCAGCTAGGAGTGATAGTATAAATTTTCTTTGTGCTTGAAATTAAATAGTGAGTTATGCAGTTGGTGAAGGTGGTCAAAAAGGGCTTGAGGGACGGCATCGCTAGGTATGTTTACGCGATGGACGTACTCACGGTAGACGAACTTCGGGAGGAGTGCGTCGAAGTAGAGAGGAGTTTCGGTCGTCGAGGGAGTGCTGCTTACCTGCAGCAGAACAAGGTACGGGTCAGCGAGGCGCACGTACAGGACGAAGTCGACGAGCAGCGACACCTGGAGGTGGACGAGCTACGTGGGCGATTCCGAAATCCATTTAGGTCAGGTTGCTGGAATTGCGGGGTTGCGGAGCACGGATTCCAAGATTGCGAGGCCACGGAGTGGAGGAGATTTTGTTTCCGGTGCGGCAAGCTGGGCGTGATTTCTCCAAAATGTCCCGATTGCGCGGGAAACGGTCGATTGGGCAGTCCGAAAGCGGGAGGCACTCGGCCAGGTTGGAATCCCGCGAAGTAGATCCGAAGAAAGAAGACGAAAACAAGAATAAACATAGTCCATCTGATAGTCATAAGTACTTGTTAAGATACCTGCCGGAGGATGAAAGGCTTCGCCGTTATATGGAATCACGGAACCGGATTTTTGCGGAGCATCAGCTGAGCGGCATGCGTCTAGTCTCACGGAGAGTCCAGAAGGCAAGAGAGCGCTTCAGGATGAGGAGATCCAGACGACGAGAGGTGGTGGCGGCCGTTAAACGCATAGATGCCGCCGATCCTAGACCCTTCGCCGACGTGGAGACCTTGGGCAAGCAGCTCACCGGCTTTTTGGGTACAGGCGCCAGCGTAAGTGTGCTGGGCAAAGGCTGTCGAGAGCTCGTGGAAGCGCTGGGAGTTACCGTCCAACCGTATTTTTCGGTAGTCCGTACGGCTACTGGCGAAGATCGATCCATCATCGGACGCTTGGAGCTGCCTGTGAGGTACAAAGGCGTGAGTAAGCCGGTCACGTTCTACCTGTGCCCATACCTGGAACAAACGGGCGTACTTCGGAGTCGACTTCTGTCGAGCCTTCGGACTAGCTCCAGCCGTCGTGGCGAAGCCGGCGACGAGGGGCGTCAAGGCAGCGGAGGAAATCCATGCCAGCCAGATGGAGCACTATGCGGACCAGGAAGATGAGGACGAGGTAAGGGAGGAACCCGAATCCTGGAGCCTTTCTGCGGAGGAAAAACTGGCGTTAGGCAAGGTCAAGGAGGAGTTCCTTACCTTTGAGAGGGACGGCCTCGGAGTCACCAGCATGGAGAGGCATTCCATCGAGCTGATGGAAGGAGCTCGGGTCTTTAAGGATCGTCCGTATCCGATGTCTCCGGCGAAGCAGAAGGTGGTCGAAGACGAAATCGACAAGATGTTGGAGCTGGGTGTCATCGAGGAGAACAAAAGCCCGTGGAGCAATCGCACAACAGTGGTGTCGAAGCCAGGGAAAGACCGGTTCTGCCTGGATGCCCGGAAGTTGAACGCCTTGACTATCAAGGATGCATACCCTCTACCCAGTATAGAAGGAATCCTCTCCAGAATAGATCAGACGCATTACATCTCCAGCGTTGACCTGAAGTTTGCGTTTTGGCAGATCGAACTGGATGAGAAAAGCAAGGAGTACACTGCGTTCACGGTTCCAGGCAGGCCGTTGTACCAGTTCCGAAAGATGCCGTTCGGGCTGTGCAACGCGGCACAACGCTTGGTACGGCTCATGGATCGGGTGATACCAGCGGAGCTCAGATCCAACGTCTTCGTCTACTTGGACGACCTGCTAATCCTCGCTCCAGATTTTCAGACGCACCTGAAATACTTGCGTCGAGTAGCCCACAGTCTGAAATCAGCCGGATTGACCATAGGGTTAAAGAAGTCGAAGTTTTGCTTCAAGTCTTTGACTTACTTAGGGTTTATAGTCGGAAGTGGACTGCTGCGGATGGATCCTGGACGTGTTTCGGCAATTTAGAAGATGCCTTACCCGAAATCCATGAAGGAAGTACGTGCCTTCCTCGGCACAGCGGGATGGTATCGACGGTTCGTCAAGAACTTCGCTACGCTAGCCGCACCACTCTCCGAGTCCTTGAAGAAGGCTGGAAACACAAAGTTTTCCCTAAGTCCCAGCGCCACCCAGGCAGTGGATGACCTGAAGTTGGCCTTGACGAGCGCGCCGGTCCTGGTTCATGCGGATTTCAAGAAGCATTTCTTCATCCAGTGCGATGCATCCCACGTTGGCGTCGGCGAGGTATTGTTTCAGCGGAACCAGGACGGAGACGAGCAGCCCATCGCGTTCTTCTCGGCCAAGATAAACAAACACCAGGTTAACTACTCGGTCACGGAAAAGGAATGTTTGGCGGCCATCCTAGCTATTCGGAAGTTCAGACCGTATGTGGAAGGGATGCCCTTCACATGCATTACCGATCACGCCAGCCTTAAGTGGTTGATGACCATGAAGGATCTGTCCGGACGACTCGCAAGGTGGTCTCTCCAGCTGCAGGGCTACGATTTCAGTATTGAACATCGTAAAGGCAGCGAGAACGTAGTCGCTGACACTCTGTCCTGCATCATAGAGGAAGTCCGGATAGATCCAACGGGGGTACTGGGATTCGAGACGACCGAATTTGCTGCGGAGGATTATACGGAGTTAGTGAAAGACGTGGAGTCAAACAGGGAGCACTTACCGGACCTCAAAGTGGACGGCGGACTAATCTTCAAGCGCATGAAGAATCCGAAAATGGACGAGGAACTGAAGGGATCCGAATGGAAGCTGTGGATCCCGCAAAGCCTGACGCACAGCTTGGTAGAGCTCATTCGGACCCCAAGGCTGGCCATGGTGGGATGACGAACACCTTGGAGATCCTGCGACGCCAGTTCTATTGGCCAGGGATGACCATCCAGGTACGGGCATACGTCCGGGGTTGCGAGGTGTGCAAGGAATCCAAAGCGCCAAACTTCCGGATGCAGGTCGGAATCGGAAGAAGGGTAGAGACGGAGAGGCCATTCCAGAAACTGTACATCGATTTCTTGGGCAAGTATCCGAGGTCCAAGAGTGGACACGCCTGGATATTTATCGTGGTGGACCACTTCTCGAAGTACACCTTCTTAAAGGCGATGAAGGAGGCGACGGCGTCGAACTTTGTAAATTTCCTGGTAAACGAGGTATTTTACAAGTTCGGGGTGCCTGAGACGATAATTCAGACAACGGAAAACAGTTCGTATCCAAGGCGTTTGAGGAGATGATCGATGGCTTCGGTATACAGCACATGAGGACTCCCGTATACTCACCACAGAGCAATGCCGCGGAGAGGGTAAGCCGGAACGTCTTGGCCGCAATTCGCAGTTTCTTGGACGAAGATCACCGGGAATGGGATGCACATTTGCCGGAGATTTAGGTGGCCATCCGAAACACTGTCCACTCAGCCACAGGGGAAGCGCCGTTCTTCACTGTATTCGGCCATCACATGTTCCTCAACGGTTCCAGCTACAAACTAGCCAGACGACTCAGGTCTCTGGTCGACCATGAAATGGCCGGAATGCAGACCAAGGACAAGCTTCGGGTTATCCACGTCAAGGTGCAGAAGCAACTGGAGGGTGCATACCAGACGAGCCGGCAGCGCTACGATAAGCTAGCCCGTACGCTGCTCGCCAAGCCAGGCCAAGAAGTCTTCCGCCGCAACTTCGTGCTGAGTGATTTCAGCAAATCTTTTAACGCCAAGTTTGCTCGCAAGTTCCTTAAAGCCAGGGTGATCAAATCCGTCGGCAGCAATGCATACTTGCTGGAGGATCTCCAAGGCCGCAGTCTGGGAGTGTATCATGCCAAAGACATCCGGTTGTGACCTGAAAGAAGGACAAATCAAAGTATACGAGCATCGCGATCACATGTGCAATACTTCCCGTCATGCGTGGGCCCCGCGATAGGCGTCGATCGAACTGCAGGATGGTATCAGTGCCGTGTTGAATCCCATCGTATCTCCAAAGCTACCAATTATTTCATCGTTCTGCTGAAACTCCGGGCAGCGCCCCTCGAAATCTTTGGTTGATGTTGCAATTGGAGTCGAGTGGGAGCGACGTTATCGATAGGTTAGGTCGATAGGGCGATAGCTGCAGCAGCGGGATGAGTCTGGCGGGCGATCTGGCCATTTAAAGATTAATCCCGGTTCGCTCTGGGATTACTTCAAATGGCCCATGTTCCCAATGACCCAATGTTGAGAGAGGCCATGTAATATGGCGGGGGGCGATGATCAGCAGATATCGTGATAGTCGCGGCCATACTGTCCAACAATCAAGGCAGATGCAGCTAGGAGTGATAGTATAAATTTTCTTTGTGCTTGAAATTAAATAGTGAGTTATGTTAAAGTTCTATAGTAGTTCGGTATTTAATATTTATCATTTATAAAGGCAGCCGGGGTCCCAATACAAAGGGCCCCGGAAGAATTTATTTGGAATATTACTGACGTCGCCATACTTCGCCATACCTACCAGCCCGACTTGGCTGCCCAGCAACCGGTGTCCGTTCGACCCGTGCCAACGACCATCCAGAAAGGCCTTCCACAGTCGACGCCGACGACGTCAACATTTCCCGGTGAGTCCGTTCCGGCGTACCGCGTCCTCCTCATCTCGGGAACTTCCAGCGGTCGCATTGCGGCGCTGAGAACTATCGCCATTTTGTTTGGCAGCCGACTCTCGGACTGTCCTTGCGCAACTCACCGGAGAGCGCCGTTTTCCCGTGTGGAGATCCGTATCACTGCTGGCCTCCGGCGGAAAGTCATCAGCCCGGGCTATCACCGCCTTCAGGCCCGGCCCGACAGTGGCTGAAATCAAGGAAAATTTGAATACACGTGTACCTCGATTATATATATTGATATCTACTTACCTGTTTGTGAGTTTATCCGGAGTTAGACCCGAGAGCCTTATTTGTCCTCGTTGTTTGCCTAAAATTAAAAAGGTCGCGAGCATTAGTTAGCTTACAGTGCAGTTACGTACCTTTTTGGCCTGTCCCTTCTTTTCCCCTGGAGCTCCTCAGGATTAGGTGACAATACACACGCGCATCGCGCATGTTCCTTTGAGGGCCGCGTTTCCATGCGAGCTCTACCAATACATGGCTGTTAGAGCATAGTTTCCGCGGCATAGTTACCGCGTAAATATCCGAGACGGCGGCCAGGTTTCGGTCTTAAAGGCTGAGGAAGGATAAATCTGTTAAGAGGAGCATGTATATAAACGATTGTACTTACGATATTTATTAAACCTTTGTAATACCCACTATGTGTGAGTAAGCTTTCCCAGTGGAGGAGATGAAACCGCCGTATTCGCGAGGAGGGGGCTCCTGCCGACTGCGAATGGGTGGTGCCCTGCAGCATCTTGAGGGCATCCATGGTTGGGTGGGAGCGCTTGGCTAGGTCACCGATAGCCACCAAATGTAATCCATTTTTCCGTCAATATTTGTAGATTTTTGCTTTGTTTACGTTTTTGTCCTTAGTGATGACCAATAGATTAGTAAAGTAAGACCGCGAAGTTATCGATACTTATGTTGCGAGCTGTGGCATTAGGGGTACTCTGCCCTGAGAGAAGACTGAGCTAGCGGCACTGCCACCGAAAAAAGCAGTTCGTAACAACTAGTTTTGACGAAATGACATCTACTGATTCTCCTTTAACTTTATTTTTTAGTTTGTCTATTGTACGCCGGGGGGTAGCGGGGTACCGGTGGCGCTGGTAGAATGGCGTGGGAGGCGACGGCGGGAACTGGTGGCGTCGGCGGGCTGCTGCGCTGGGCTTTGGCGCTGGGCTTCGGCGGTTTGTTTCTGGTGCGGCGGAAAGTGTCTAAGCTGTAGGAGAGAAAAACACTGGAAACGCGAAGTGCCCCTTGACCGAAAAGTAATTACGCAAAAGGTTCACTGTACAAATTAGGCGGGGGTGCGACCGTGGTTTATTCAATATGAATGCCAAAATTGAACTGCCTAAGTCTAAGCTCAGCTTCGCGCTCCAAAGCGCAGCGGAGACTTCACGGAGGGGAGCTTGGAACAGAGCAGGAGAGCGGGAGCGCGAGAGAGCGGTGCAGTCGGATAGCGGGGCCGGTCCAGATTCGCCGGACAGTGGGCCTGAACATTCCGACCCCCTTGCAATAGCTAGCGTTGCAAAAAAGGAGACGGAAGTTCGGACAGTCACCTACGCCTTAAGCCTGCGTACAGGCGCTGAAAAGGATCCACCCGAACACCGTCTTCTGGGCTACTGGCAGTCCCTCGTCGACCATGTGGAAGCCCGGCTGTATCACCTTCGGGTAGACGTACGCGCCCAGGATCAAGGAAATAGTGGCTGGCCGGTGGAGACGCTCATCAGCGAGCGGTAGCTCCTTAAACTTCTGGACAACGCTCTCACTGAGCGCACGGATGGGGGTGCGGATGCGCACGTTCGGCTCGAACTTGAGGACCACCTCCAGCTTGATGGCCTCGTCGACCTTCGAACGAATCGTCGCCGTGCAGATGCTCTCATCGCCCACGTTTGTTGTCGGCAAACGAAACGCGGCAGCCAGGGATGCACCGATGGAGCTTGTCGGGGTGCACGGATCGATGAGTGCGGCGGTGTCGAACGTCTTCTCCCCGGTCTCGACGATCACCAAAGCAGACGGGAGGACGTTGACGCTATGACGCTGGAGAAGTGCCGCGAGCGACGGAGCTGGTGTCGAGGATGCCGAGCGCGGTGGAGGGGCAAGCGTTTGGCGAGTTGGCGGATCTTGCCGGCGCGAACGTTGCGGAGAAGCGGGCTGTTGTTTGGAGCCGGACTTTTTCCGGGAAACAAGTGCGTGCATGTGGAGCAACGGTTGCACGTTCTGCACCGGTCAGCGCTACGACAGCTCCCAGACGAGTGCTCGTGTGCGAGACAGTTCGCGCAGTACTGGTTTATAAGAACTGCCCGCAGCCGCTTCTCTGCGCTCAGCTTTAGGAACCTCTGACACTTCTGAAGAGGATGGATTCCGCGGCAGACTCAGCATCGGTAGGACTGAGTACCTCTCGTACGTCTACTATCCAATGCCTGAGTGCTACGTGGACGGGGAGCCATTTTCCTGTTTAGAGTTTGGATAAGGAAAAAACAAACAGGGCTGATTAACAATGACGTGGATAATGGCTACGGACTAAGGTGTATATGAAACGTGGCTCGTTACGAGGTAGTTTTGGACGGCTCTCTTGGAAGAAGAACCACCTTGGTCACTGGACGTTTGACAATGCCGCGTATCGTACGAATGTCGACTACGCGGACATTACCATCGACACCTGGAAGAACGGAGTCTATTCTTCTGAGTCGCCACTCATTTGAGGGCAAATTGTCATCCTTAATGACGACCAGTTCGCCGACACGCAGATTTTCTGTGGGGACTTTCCACTTGTTGCGCTTGTGGAGCTCCTTAAGGTACTCATCCTTCCATCGAGTATGGAATTGTTGATGGAGAGACTTTAAGTGCTGTCACCGGTTCAGAATGGACTTGGATTCGCCCTTAATTCAGGTTCCACTATGGATAGAAGAGGTCCACCAACAAGAAAGTGCCCTGGTGTCAACGCTAAGTGATCAGTTGGATCCTCTGACATGGGAGATAGCGGTCTGGAACTCAGACAAGCTTCGATTTTCGATAGGAGGATGGACAGCTCTTCAAAGATGTACTTCCGTTTAGCGGTGGACTTGTAAAACAAGGTGTTGAAGCTCTTGACACCAGCTTCCCATAGGCCTCCCATATGGAATGAATTACCAGGTGAGCTGCTGATAACTATACGCATCGGTCACAGACTCCTTAACGGCTTGCAAGAAGTCTCGGAAAAGCACGGTGGAAGCGCCGACGAAGGTCTTTCCATTGTTGGACTGGACTTGGGAGGACACCCTCTTATAGATACGAAACGAGCGAAAGCGGCAATAAACTTTTCAGTCGTTAAGTCGGATGTAGGCTCTAGATGGATGGCCTTTGTAAAAAATCAAACGAAAACCAGCACATACCCTTTTGTAATGAGACAAGCTCTTCCGGTATAATGTTATATATCAAACGGGCCGGTGTAGTCCATCCCTGTGTACGTGAACGGACGGAAAAAAGACACTCGCTCTTTTGGAAAGCTTCCCATCATCTGGAGTTAACCACTGCCTTCACCAAGTTCTTTATTCTCGGAACCCAGTATCTGGATCGGGTGAGACCCACCACTAACGCGAGAGTGCACATTCGTACGGTAGGATTATCGGATGTCGTTCATCATACCGCAAACTGTCGGAGGCCGTTACGCGGCCGCATGCCCTGATTAGCCCTTTCTTGTCTAGAAAGGGGTTCAGGGAGAGTATCGATTTTGCCGCGGGCACAGGACGCTTCTGACTCAAATTGTCATAAACTGTTCCGCGGCGGCAACGTCCTGGGCCTCTAGACAGACCCCGAAAATTGGTGATTGTCTTCGACATCGCTGGGCAAATCGATGGACATACGCGAGGACCAGCAAAGCTCTATCTAATTTGGAAAAGCGATCCAGGAGGTCTTCTGTCGGCATAGACGCCACATGGGCTTTGACGGCACGCCTTTCGATCTCAGTCACCGGCAGGTCGGTTCCCTGGCTGGGCCAATGAACACGTGGACGTTGCAGCCCAGTAGGTCCATGCCACCAAAGCGGGTTATCCACCAGCTCTTGAAGGTTAACTCCTCGACCAGCCAAATCAGCTGGATTATGTTCGGATTGAACGTGTGACCAATTGGCTGCCTCAGTGGACTTGGTGATCTTCGTCACCCTGTTGGCAACGAACGTTGTCCAATGGCACGCTGGTTAGGCTAACCATGCTAGCACAATCGTGGAATCGGTCCAACAGCCTCGGCATATTAGGAAGAATGACTTCGGCCATCTCGGACAAAAGGAGAGCCCCACATAACTCCAGCCTGGGAAGGAACACCGTTTTGATTGGCGTCTTGGCCGTGGGCAAGTGCACCATCGTCTTATGGCCACCCTCTACGCGCACATAGATCGCAGCACCGTATGCATTTTGCAAGGCGTCACAGAATCCGTGATGCTCTACGCGGAACTCTGGACGGAAGGAAACCCATCTGGGTATTCTGACCTGGTCTAGGACCGAATAGCTCTGGAGAAAGCTGTTCCACCTTTGGCACAGCTCAATTGGAAGTTTATCGTCCCAGCCTAGATCCAGAAGCCAAATCTCTTGCATAAAGATTTAGGCACACACAACAAATGAAGCGAGCCAGCCTGCTGGATCAAACAGCTAGGCAATTTGGGAAAGGACTTGGCGTTTCGTGTGGGAGATTTCCGTTGCTAAATCTGGGGGGACGAAAAAGAACTCATCGGACGTCGCCTTCCATCGTACGCCGAGAGTTTCGGATGTGCTCTCAGTGTCGATCTCGATCTGAGCTAATATTTCTTTGTGGTTGGAGGTCCATTTTCTCAATGAAAGCCCCGCGGAATCTAGAGCACTTTATATTCTTGAACGTGGCCCTTACGACACCAAGCAACGCTTGTTACGCGCGGAGCCCTAAACCGATTTGGGCAAGAAAACGAAATCGCGGACTTGGAAAAAGACGACATAACAATAGACAGTTTAAAGTACATACATACACATAGAATGGCTAGTAACATAGAAATTTAAAAATTATTGGAAGAAAGAAAACACATAAGTTTATCATTATTAGTTGCATTAGGGCTATCAAACAGTAAGACGTGACACAGTGCATTATAGTCGTCACAAAGAACCCGAAAAGGATCATGAAGGGCATAATTGGATCTACAAATTGGCAGGGACAACGGACGAAAACGACGAACTGTTCTACAGGCTACATTCCAGTTGAGGGAACTAAGAAGGAAGGGAGAGTCGACATCACCATTAATTAATTTATGCAAAAACATAACTCCATGACACTTTCTACGATGGTTCAGGGTTGGTAAGTCCAGCAGGCGCAACCTCGCATGATAAGAGGGCAATCGACTTCCTGTGTCACAGTTTAAACCTCTCAAAACAAATAAAAGGAATTGTTTTTGAACGGACTCTAACATATTTTGGTAACAGCTAATTTGAGGTGACCATATACACGAGCAATATTTCATTGACGCTCGAACAAGAGAAACATACAAAAGCTTTGTTGTGTATGGATCATCAAACTCCCTTGACCAGCGCTTCATAAACGCCAGGAGACTTCTGGCTTTGTTAGTTATAGTAGATATATGGTCTTTAAAACTAAGTTAATGATCAAATAGAACGCCAAGATCCTGAACAGAAAAAATACGTTCAAGGGCGTTATTACCGATACAATAAGAATACAGAGATGGACTACTACGATAAAAGGTCATAAAGTTACATTTAGAATAGTTCAAATTCAACATGTTAATCATGCACCACGTATACAAACAATCAAGATCTAGTTGAAGGTCATTATATGAATTAGGTAAACACATGGACAAACATAGCTTGACATCATCTGCATACATTAAAACAGTTGACGATT